CGCAGATAAACGACGACGCCGAGATTTGTCACCCGGAACGACCAGTTAACACATCGGCACCCTTGTCATCGATCCGCACCAATAATGCAACCGGTAGGCAAGATTTATGTACCTGCCATCCAACCTTTTCCCAACAGCAGACCTACCGTTTAAACCATAATTTCCGACTCTATCGAATGTTCTGCGACACAGCGGTTTTCACTCAAGCTAAGTTAACGCCGGCCACCGTGTCGGCTGATAAGCTTGACAAAATGATAAAATTCTCTTTCAAAGGGCGTGTGAATTGTATCGCAGGAGTGCGCGAATAGATAAGCACGTCTTCACTTACTTGCAGTCAACACATTTCAGACTTTATTTTAACAGAACTTTCAAATTTACAGCTTGGATTGCCGAGACATTCAATATTGCCGAAAGTGTGAGAAGCTGTAGATAATCACAATGTGTAGTCTAATCGTGAGTTGAGAAATGTTTTATTGCTGGAGAATATACCGTCTCTGTATAGTAAGATATTTTTTTATATACCAAAGAAAGACTTGCATATAACAAAAGAAAAGATTTGTATATGTCACAAAAAAATCGTAATTATTTCTTCATTATTATTAATTTTATCTCTATTTTATGTACACGGATATACATTGTATATCCATATTGTATATTTATTCATGCACAAATATATTGTTGATCCTCCTCAACATTTTACCACGTGTTCATCCAGCGTGTAATCCTAATCGTTCCACGTTGCGATTAATCGTATGCAATCGCTCGTACGTGGCCGATGGACGACGGGCGACGCGAAAGGATAATTGCAGCGCTACCTGACAAGCGCTGTGAAACAATAATTTAGCGGATAAGAGCCGAAGGTGCGTCTCGCTACGCGCGCGCACCCGATGGAAACCCGGCGTGGAGAGAGAAGCGGCGGCGGCGGCTACAAATTATTTACAGCGCGGCGCGGATACCGCCACGAGCTTTACGATTACCCGATGAAGCGTATAATCTGACTTTGTCGTCTTTATGGCGCGGTACCGTTTTTATGGGGTGAAGCGAGGTCGTAAGTGCCAGGTGGAACGCATATTAGGTCCTCTCGTCGGCCCCCGCTGCAGCGTGCGATGCTGCGTAAATTTCGACGCCGCGAAATAACCCGACGGTGTATACTCTTGGCGTGTACCCGTGGCGTGCAAGGCCAAGCCCCGATTTCTTACGTTGAACAAGCGTGTTAAGTAAACACGAGTGTGTAATTAATTAACGTATCTGAATACGATCCAGAAAAATTCGCGGAAGAATTAAAACGTGAGGGAGCGTTGGTAATTATTTATGGGTTTTTATTACAGATCTCTGGAAATGTTTCAAAAATAAGAATATCACCTCTTTTCTCTCTCCCTCTCTCTCTCTCTCTCTTTCTCTCTTTCGCTCTCTCCTCATAACGAATAATGTCCACTGTGTATCGCTTCTACGTTGCTTCTTGCGTTTCAATTGATTCACGGTGGTTTAATCAACGTTTGACCACGCGTGTAATACGTGCGCCACGTTAATTGGAGTTCAATTGAAGTGCTTGGAACGTACTCGGAATTGAGCATTACGCGTCGGTTAATCTTAGGCATTACGGCCCGTTCGAGTGAGACGCGTCGGTTTTATTTCGAGCGAGGACACGCGGAGCGTGTCAGCGCCGCCGCGATGTGCGTTTAAACGCAATTTGTATTCGATTATTCCATCAGCTTATCCCCGCGACATCATCCCCGCTCGGCCGGGCCGATCGCAAAACGCGACATTACGACACACCGCCGCGGGAAATATCGCAATTAAATCAATCGAACGGTCGTGCTTTCGCGCGAGAGCCAGCTGTAAGAAGAATCCACTGTAGTGCGAATGTCTCGTAAATATCTGTTGGATGTTCAAATATCCGCGAGTGTTCAACTACGCGTCTGAACAGCTTTTGATATTGCCCTTCTTTCTTATACGAAAAAAGATATGTTTTAAGGTAAACGTTAAGGTGTGAATCATACCGTATCCAATACACATTAAGGGAAAATTCGATAAAAGAAAACGAAAGAAACGAGACACGAAATATACTAAATCTGTCACGCTGCATTCCTGTTATTCTCCCGAGTTGGTTCCATCCGGACGAAGAGTAACAAAGTCACGCGTGTCTATTCCTGACAACTTTTCCCACGGAACGGTGATTTCGTACGACAGGAAGTGACAACGATATCGACAACATCCAAAAATCTGAATATTACGGGACATTTGTGGACGTACTACGCTCTCGGGGACGTCCGAAAGTAGAAGAAGCGCCGAGTGCGTGTGACGCTAATTTGCTTAATTAAACTGTCGCTTTATCCGAGCCGACGGGCCGTCTCGTTAATAATATACAATCTCCCGAATCTCATGAGGCGAATGCCGATCGTCAGGCATCCCCGGCGGTGTCGTGCTTAATTCGATCATCGATCGTCCAGCGTGAATTCCATGCGCGTTCGCGTTTTAATGTCTTACCTGAAGGAGAGAGAGAGAGAGAGAGAGAGAGAGAGAGAGAGAGGGGAGAGGGCAAAGGAAAGAGAAAGAGAGAAAAAAAGATTCTTCGTCGAATCACGATCGATACGATTGACGGCGATCTCTAGATCGCGGAGCCACGCCAGAGGGAATAAAGAAGGGGAGAGGACGAGGTCGAGAGAGGAGGAGGGAAGGAGAGAGACGACTGGCCGGTCGTGTCGTGGCAGTGTGTGTGAAGCTTTAATTAAGGGAACATATTGCCACTAATATATGACGGACAGTGTCAATCTGTCAGGCTACCAAAAGACACCGCTCTGATAGCGGGTCCTAGAGACCGGTGCAGCCTATTGGACACGCTGTCTTCGATTTGGCTGTCGCGGCCAATCACCCGGAATTAATACATCGGATGGCTAACCGAGCGAGTCACGCGGACCAGCCTCGCCTCTTTTCGGGTTCGGGTTCAGCGCGCGCTACCCGTGAGGGTGGCCGTACCTGATCGTGATGTGATGAGAGCCGATCGATCGCAGCGGTCGTGAGCGAGAATGAAATTCGTTCGCGTTTATCCGCCGCATTCCCACAGCGTCCGCGAGCGCGATGCGATGGACTGCGTGTCTTCGTGTAATGCCGACGAGGAAGACGCGTTTCTCGATTGAAGTTTCGTCGTACGAGAGTCGCGCTGTAGTTGAGTCGGGTTGACGAGGGGAATGATAAGAGACACGTGAGAGGCCCTCTGCAAGGTGCGACAATGACAGCGCGAGTCTTCAGCGTGTTTTCAGCGGAAATCGCGCTGACAGACAAGCGAGGAAGTCGGAGCGACGAATCGGATGTGTGCGACGACGCAGTTCGTTGAACTTCAATCTTCCAGCGACCGAATAGAATATTTCTCGTTTGCGATGAACCACGCGGTCGCATTATCATTATTATCATATTACTACACGCTGTTATTTGTGGCACCTTGTAGTTTGATTTCATAGCCGTATACGTGTCGCAACGGTCCTAATATTAGAGACAGTAGTCATTACCTATCTCTCTCTCTCTCTCTCTCTCTCTCTTTCTTTTTCTCTCTCTCCCTGTATCTTTCTCTCTTTCCTAGCCACACCGAAACTGTACGTCTAGAATCTATCCCATTAAGGTTAATTTAAAAATAATTACCGCTCATTCGCCCGTATCCTGGCTCGAAAAAAAGGGCAGAAAAAGCTTAAAAGACGATACACGAAAGAAAACCGATGAGAATCGGAATTCTACAGCGGCGTAGACGTCGATATCGCGTGAAATGTTACAACGAGTATCGTGCGTTACGCAAAGAACGTCGGCGTGTTTTTCGGCGAAATATCACTTCGGAATTCGACCCGATTTAAAGTACGTTCTCTTGTTGGCGCAATTGAATCGGGCCCAAAGTGTAATTTAGTATAAAAGGCGCAAACCATTAACAACGAAAATAACGCTCACGACTCGACGTCACTTTTTTCCCGGGATAACGGTCAAACGTTCCGAGAGAAAAACACGAAAATATCGGGCCCATTGTCGCGCGTCGCGTTTTTACTATCGTTAATACACTCACGTTCCGCTATAGAGTGGTCAAACGTCAGTCTCCACACACGGCCGGGTCCCCTTAAAGGCCCCGCACGTAGAAAGGTCCTTAAAGGTCCTAAAGGGGTAGCCCCATTCCGGAGGTGTGTGCCGATCGGGCACCAGCATTTAATCGTAACGAATCGCCCTCAGGGCCCGTAGGGGAGTGTGTAATCGACATCCGGTTCGCCTAATGTCGAACGAGTAGCGCCCTGTAATCTGCCGCTAGTGTGTGCATTGTCGTGCGCGGGGCCCCTTTCAGGAGCGAGAAAGGGGCCCCATGGGACCCGAGATCCCTTTCTCGGCGAGAGAGGGCGAGGCCGGTGCCCGGAATAGCGTCTGTCCGACCTTGCGCCCGTGACTCGCGAATAATGCGACCGGCCGGATTCACGAATTTACGGGATCGAGTGTCTAACGCGCGTGCAGAAGGCCACACTCGACTTGAACGAACGTGCCCGAGCATCGGGACACTGTCCGTTGCGAAGAAATTGGATTCGCTTCGAGCTTCGAGAACTGGAGATTATCGAAGACATAATCTGTGTTGCGATAACTCCACAGGGATTCCCCTGCGATAACTTCGTCAGATAAAAATACACTATGGGCTAGAAATGATAATCATAATGGAGCGAGAAGCAAATCGCAACGGCTCATTGAGCCGTTCGTACGACCCGACGCGTTAACTGCCGCGTTGATTAGCTCGAAAGTTTATAACCGATTTAATTACCAAAGATACAGCAAGTGAGTGAAATTCAAGACGCAAATATCTATTTACCACTTTCAATTAATTAATGTCAAACGCGCCTCTAATTAAACTTTATACGTAGCTCAATGAGACGCGAGATGTGGTAAATATCATAATCCCCAATCACCGTTGGCCATCGCGGCACTCAACGCGTTAATTGCCGTCGAAATTCATCGTCGAATAGACGGCGTGTGACTTGGCTTACCGCGCAGCAAGATCTTCTTGAGGGATCTCCTGACGGTCGTGCAGTTCCACCTGCGATTTCGGAATTGATACTGACATTCCTTGGTGCCGAATTGGACGCCCTTCGCGATCTCCTTCAGTAAGGACGGCTCTTTGCGACAGATATCGGCGAGCTTCCCCTTCAGCCTCCTCGTCTTCTTGCAGACGAGCATGGGATCCATCACCACCTGGCTTCCTACCGTCCTGCAAGCACAAACAATTGTTTATGATCATAGGAATGTTGGTGGTAACCAAGAATTTAAATACAATAGCCGCATTGTTACGCATGATTGTCGAATAATAATAAGAAACGAGCAATGCAGAAGGAAGAGAGAAAGAGATCAAGGCGCATCTCAGACACGAGAGAGCGTCTAATTGATTTATTTGCGCTTGATACTCGAGGCAATGTTATGGTCGCGCGAATCGCCAGAGGCCCCGCTAGCTACGCCATTCCCCTCGAGTCACGACACGCGCTAGAGAGTAGAACGGTCGGAATAATTTACGGAAGCTACAAATCCCGCGACGTGACGTCGGCTAAGTTGCCGGTTATTTAGCCGCGCAATATCTTTCCGCGCGCGCTATGTGGGAAAAAGAGATGGTTTCGCGGGAGATTAAGCGGAAGCTCCTTTCTCCGATGGCTCCTCCGCTAGCTGCGGCTCATTCCTTCCTCGCCGGAGAACCCGTAGAGTCTCTCTCTCTCTATCCCTCAGTGGCTCTTCGCTCTCCGGACCCACGAGTGTCGCGTCTCGGCGCAGCTCTGATCCTCGCGATTAATCGCCCGCGTTTGGATCCGAATTTATTCCTCCTCGTTCGCGCGCGCGCGCGTGCGAGCGCGCGGGCCTCGTAAATCAGGCGTGGCTCTGCTATTTACAGAGAATTCGGATTTACCATTTCAGCGCCGTCTGAATATGAGATTCGCCCTAACGAATTCTGCCGGATGCCACGAAAGCTTCTTGTGTACATCGCGTGAATAATTAGATCGAGGAAGATGACTGAATTTCGGAAGACAATAAGCTGGTCGGAGAATTTCCATGAAAGCTTCCAATTCGCGCTTAAAATTTATCGTCATCTAATTGTCTGAGTTTAGGAAAAACTAGACAAGATATGACGAGATTAGCTTTCGACTTGATCTTTTCTATTTTCTTAAATTTAATTTTGAATATATAACAGACGTGTCGATCAGTCGATACGCAGAACTTTAACGCAGCGATTAATGATCGAACGATCGCGTGGAATGGCCAGAAGAAGGTGACGAAGAGCGATAGACTGGAATCGTGACTGTATGAAGCCGCGGAACTGTGTGAAGAAGGAAAAGAGGAGGTTTCATGACGCTACGTCGTTGGCCTCTAGTAGGAAGGACAACGAGAAAGAACTCCGCGAAGAAGGCAAGCAAAGAAGAAGAATGACTACGCCGCGAACAGTATATAGCTACGACACACTCGAATCCGAACACGCTAACGCCATTACGATAATTAAAGCTCCAGCTTGTTACGTCGCTCGTGACGACGTAACCAATCGTATGAAGGAAAAATAAAGACATAGAGGGGAGGCAAAGACGCTCCAGAAACGGAAAGAACGTGCCGAAGGATGTGAAGAGGGAGGCGAGGGTGCAGAGAGATGCAGATAGAGAGAGAGAGAGAGAGAGAGAGAGAGAGAGAGAGAGAGAGAGCCGGATGATCACACTGAGCTTGCAAAAAACAAAAAAAGAATAAGGCGAATTGGAGTGAACTACGAGCGATGGGAACTACGAAGTCGAGGAGAAGAACTCGGAGACAGAAGAGCACCAGGGAAAGAACGAAGCGAAGGAGAAGGAGAAGAAAGAGGATGGGAAGGTAGAAGCGCGGATGAACGCAGGACGAGCACGGAGGCAGAAAGGTAAAAAGAGGAACAGAGGAGGTTCTGGAAGGGATTAGGGGGTGACGAGGAAAGGAGAGGAAATGGAGAAGAAGAGAAGAAGAAAGAGGACAGTCCGGGCGACCTTCGTTACGAAACGTTAATTAAGATCATTAGTTCTGCGTCGGTAGGATGCCGGGGCGCGTACACGACGGCCTCTCGGGAATGCAACGACCTTAATGGCAATAATTCCGTTAAGGACGGTTGCTCGCACGTCCGTGTACGCCGCAGCCGTTGCCCGTTCCCGATGTGCCTTAGCCTCTCAGCCTCCCTCCCAGCCGTCTTCTCCAGTCGTCCCATCTCGCCAACTTTTCGTTCTGCACGAACGGGAATAAGAAGTCGGAGGTAATGCGGAGAGGAGCCGTGCACGAGAGTGACATCGTCATTTGGGCGAAGGGAGATTCCTCGGCTCGAGAGGCGACCGCAGGACGAGGAGGACGGCTGAAGAAGGGTGGACGATACGAGGATGGGAATTCGCGGGAAATCCCCTTGATCGAAAGACTATCTCGCGCAATCGTGTCGGAGATATTATAGAAGCAGACGGAGGTGGAAAGGGGACAGAGAGAAGGAAGAGAAAAAAGAAGGAGAGCGGCGCTCTCTCGTCGGGGCAAAATATGGCGCATGTAACGTCTCGCGGGACGACCAGGGCCGCTGACAGAGTACAAGCCGTGGGGACTTGGACTCGTCGATATTCCTGTTAAGGCCCCCGTGTCCCGATAGAGTCTGACGGACGACAAGCGCCAAAGCTTCTTCAATCTGCTGCGTGGGCTCGTCGAAGGAAACGGCGCGACGCCATATCTCGAGGAGGAACATTCGCGCGATAAGACGTATCACTTCGCAGAGGTGTTCAGCTCGCGAGGATGTATCTACGCGAAATGTCAGCGGATACGTCGCTATTAACTCAGTTTTTCTTATAACTATACAACATGACGACTGTCGGATTTGAAAACTAGATACCGCTCGTTTTGCGACAGATTTCAACAGTTTTATGTAAAATTTTAGCACGTTTCGGAATTTTTAATGGCGTCGCACTGCGGCACTCTTGGGACGCTCCAGTGAAATCAATGCACACATTCTCGACCTCCCTTCGTTATATTGTGAAACATCCTTGACCTCTAATTGGGCTAAATTTCATGAAGGAAAAAAAGTCGGGTTACCCGATGAGGTGACGCATGTTTTGCAGTTTTGCAAAGGAGGAGAATGGCTTGCTCTTAGAAGTCGCGAGACCTTCCCGGAATTCGCGCATCACGCACCATTTCCCGAGTCGGCATCAATCTGCGCGAGAGAATGCAACGAAACTTCTAGGCGCGAGAGATAATGGACGAGCGACATAGACGTAGCTGTTCCGAGAAGTTGCGGTATGCGAAGCCGCGCGCGCGCGCGGTGCTCGTACGCAAGCAGAAGTTAAACATTGTGTTAAGCGCGGCTTATTACGGTGTGGGAGTGTTACGGCGAGTTTTACGCAGGGAAGAACGCGAGAGTGGTGGTGATACGCCTGCGGAAATAAGGGCGGACGTTTACGTGCAACTTTATACATTTTGCTTGTTCAAGCTTGTTCAAATAAATCCACGGGCCACCGGGTTTTATGGAAACCTCAAAATACGCCTCACATTTTATATTTGACTATATGGTTACAATGCGTTCGCGGACAACTCGCAAATACGACACACACACACACCACACCGCCAGCTGAATCTCATCTATGATATTTTTCGATTTTCGGATCGATATTTTTCTCCTAAAAATGAAATTTTGGGGTTTTCCTCGCGCTACTATGAGCTGCGAATTTTATGGTCGCGCCACGTGACGCCGCCGATCGATAACGAGAACGCCGCGATTTCTGTCCGGAACACATGGCCCAAACAATTTAAAGATAGTACCCGACGAATCGGAGCGAGAAGTGCAGAACGCAAGTTGAAATAACACTCGCCGCAACTTCGCCAATTCATCACGTCACGACGTCACGTCGCTCTATTTTTATTGGATCTGTGACTCCCGGTCGCGATTTCCGGCGGAAAGCGGGCGCGAACGCCGCTGCGAACATAGAGCGGCACCAAGGCGCGAAGGCGCAGCCTCTAGCCGGCTGAGGTTTACTCGACCTTTTGACTTCAAAGACCGTTTCCTAGTGGCCGCGCGCATCTCACCCCGTTAGTCAAATAAACGGCAGGACCGCTGGCGCGTCGATACTAAAAGACCAATCCCCGAGGCGGATAATAAAGTTACGACGTTATTGCAAACACGTCGCGTTTGACGAGCGCCGCGGACGTTTTGCACCCGCGCCTATTAATATCGCCGGAGGCGGCCTAATGGGAATTGGAGTGGTCAGGAGCTCTACGTTGCCATTCGTCTCCGATTTCGTCTCTTCTCGTTCGCCGATTGCGATTTCGTAACTTCCTACGGGTGAACGTTCGCGAAACATTACCGTTTCGCTCGAAACGACCGTCGCGTTGCGAAATAGCTAATTTAGAAGTACAGAAATAGTTTCTACCCATGAGCAGAGATAAAAATATCGAGCAGTTCTAAAAGCATGAGAATGTTTCACGAAATATTTTAATCCAAGAATTTAATTATATTTTTTATTTTATTTTTATTCCTCTCAATTATATTTCTTTGAAAAGGAGGCAGAAAGATATCTAAGTAAATTCTGTCATATCTATTCAAACTTTCTAATCCTCACCATCATAAGTGTCGATTTTGAGATAATTTAGCTAATTTATAGGTGTGTGATAAAAATAATTTCTATTCGTTGAGTAAAAGTAAAAATATTGATTTATTCTAAAAGGAGATATTGACCGATAAATTAAATTATATTTCTCATTTTATTTCTATCCCTCTTGATGATATTTCTTTATAGAGAGAAGCAAGAAGGATATCCAAGCAAAAATTTTGTTACATGTATTAAAATTCTCTAAACTTCGACGTTGTAAGTGTATGTGTGTTCGATTTTGAAGTAATATTTCACAACAGCGTCGATTCCTCATGATGTCAAATAATAATCGCGAACGTACCGCCGTCTGCGAGTTACAGAAGCGAGAGCCGACGTGCCGAATTTAAATGCACGAGGTCTTCGCGATCCCGTCACTCGTACGCCTGTATCTCTTTTCTTGCGGACGGCGGCCCCCGCAAAAACATCGCGGAGCCCGCTACTAGACGAAAAGAAGAGGGAAGACTTGGTTTAATCGACAACAATCGAGCCAGCGGAACGCCCGGGAGAGCAGCGGAGCCCCTCCTCGATTCTAGCCGAGGAGACGGGCCCCACCTCGCGTACGCGGAGGCAAGAAAAGAACTCGAGGATGGACACGTCGTCGCGA